GTCTTTTTGAGACAAGGTCTCCCTGTAGCCCCAGCTGTCCTGGAACTCACTAGGTAGACCAGGCTGGCCTTGAACTCACAGAGATCTGCCTGCCTATGCCTCCCGAGTGCTGGGATCAACAGCGTGCACCACCATACCCAGCTCCTCCTTCGTTTTTAACATTTTGTTTTGAGACAGGGTCTCACTAAGTTACCCAGGCTAGCCTTGAACTCACTCTGTAGCCCAGGCAGTCTTTGAATTTGCAAACCTCCTGTCTCAGCCTCTCAAGTGCTGTAATTACAGGCATGTGCCACCAGGCCCAGCTTAGCAGACAGATTATCATGCCCCATCAAGGCTCAGAAAGTCCAAGTCTGTCTCCATTATAACTAGTGTTGGGAGCAGCAATAAGCTCCATCAGGTTATTAATAGACCTAGAAAAATCATGTAGCAGAAAATGCCTTAATTTTCACAAGTAGGGCTTTGTGGGGGAGAAATTTCCACATCAGGCAGCCATGTGGAAACAGATTGGCACAGTGAATAGACAAGAATGTTGTTTCGTTCTGCCTCCCCAAAGAGGGCAGGAGCCCTTTGTCTAGATATGAGAGCTCACTTTGTCCTGCCCTGGGGTCTTGGAGCTGACACACATTGGCAGTTGTTCTAAACGCTTGCCCTCACCTGTCCCTTGCTTCCTGCCCCTTCCTGGCTCATGCTGATAAGAGCTTTGGAGTTTCTTCCCGGAATCCCCTGCCTCGTGTCCTACCTCTTTGTGAACCTGCTCTCCTCCCCCTCCTCTCTAGAATGTTCTGGTTCCCTTGAAAGCTGTCTCCAGACTCCTGTTTCCAGGCCATCATAAGACTGGCCTCCCAGGGACCCAGCCATGAATCCTGTTTACAGTGAGGTTTGCACAGGAAAGCCACTCTTGATTCCTGAATCTCATCCTACAGTCAGGCCCTGTGACACCCCTGTCCGTACATGCCTTGTCCACTCTTCCAGAGTGCCCCGTGGCCACAGTGGGAAGAGACCCTGGAACACTGGGCACATCCCAGCACCACCAACCAACCCTAAATGTCTGTGGTCCCATTTGTCAGTGCTTTGGCCTTTGTGTGTCTCCTCACAACTAAAGGCTATGCTGCCCTTGCTGCTTCCTTGGGTTGGGAAGGAAAGGAATTAAGCTACGAGGTAGCTCCTTGTAGGGAGCAGGGAATGGCTCAGTCAGTAAAGGATTCACCTTGCAAGCATGGAGACCTGAGTTCAATCCCAAGAGCCCCTAGGAGCCACATAACGAAGGCCATGGATGGTGGTGCCCACTTGTAATCCCAGTACTGGGGAGGCACAGACAGGATGATCTCTGAGCTTATTGGCCAGTCAGCCTAGCCTGCTAGCAAGTTTTAAGCAAGTGAGAGACTGTATATCAAAAAACAAGGTAGACAGTGCCATAGTCTACACACAGCACACACACACACACACGCACACACACGCATGCAGAAGACATCTGAGCTCTCAGACAGCTAGCAAAAAAGCAATCCAACTACCTTCACAGCCTCCGCTGTTCAACCTTTGTATTATTGTTTAATACTCACATGTAGTTATTGAAAAAAGGCATCTCCTAAGTAAATTTGACACAGAAAGGTACTTTGGCCATACCCTGCAGCCAGATGTTGGCAAGATTAGTCAGAACTGTTTCTTACTGTTTACTTGCAGCACAGAAAGTTGTTGTGTGTCCAACGCAGGAATCTAATTCCTGTTAAGAGGAAGGGAGGCGAGGACACAAGGGTCCTGGAGCTTGGCAGAGCAGACAGTCACCAGCCTGCAGGACTCACCTTGGTGTCTATTCAGGGGACGGGGACCCTGCCTAGACCACCCCCACCTGATGAATTAGCAGAACATTTGCCAACAAATGTTCTGTAGTAGTTTTGAGAGTCCATAGGAGGGCTCTGGGCAGCACAGTTTGTGGACAGTTTTACTCTCCCATCCTGTACCCACTTGCTAGAGAAGGTGAGAGTTAGGGAGGAGAAAGGTAGTGGGGGGGTGACATGATAGGAGGACAGGGAGGAAGAGGATGGGTAATGACAAAGCCAAACCATCGTTAAGAGGAATAGCAGTCCCCTCTAGGGTACGTGGTGGACCACTGGACAGTATTCAAAAGCTGTGAACTCTACAGTTGGCAAGCCTCATTTGGAGAGGATACAAAATGTCAGTCTGTCTCACCCTTAGGAAGGCAGCTCCAGGTTTGACCTGGGTTAGCCAAGAAGAAAGAGAGGAGAGAGTCCCCAAACAGGAAGGGTGACTTGGACAGCCCTGCCCTTAACCCTGTCGCCTGATGCTCATTGGAATTAACCAGGGACCTTTAGGAAACCCTCAGAGAGGGGTCATCACCTGAGGCTTAGAGCCTCACACTCATTAATGACCTGGGAAGAACAAGAACTCTTCGTTGTAACTAGGCGTGGTGATGCGCACCTGTAACCCAGCACCAGGGAAGGCAGGAGAATCAGGAATTCAAGGTCACCTTCAGCTACACAGTTGAGTTCAAGGACAGCTTGGGCTGCATGAGGCTCATTTCAAGAAATGGAAATTTTAAAAAGGCTGACAAGATGGCTCAGTGGGTAAAGACACTTCCATCAAATCTAATGACCTTAGGTTTGGAACCTTCATGGTGAAAGGAGGGAACAGACTCCTAAAAGTTGTTGTCCTACCGCCACACCCACCATGCAATCAATCAATGTTTTAAAAAAGAAAATTCATAATTATTACCTTAAAAGAACTGGGTCAAGTTTGCTTATCAAAACACATATACACATATATGTACATTTAGTGAAATTAAATTATAAAAATAGGGGCTGGAGAGATGGCTCAGGAGTTAGGAATACTGGCTGCTCTTGTAGAGGACCCAGGTTTGAGTCCCAGCACCCCCATGGCAGCTAACAACCATCCATAACTCCAGTTCTAGGGGAATTCGACTCTCTCTTCTTACCTCCATGGGCATTGCATGATTCGGGAGCCCTTACACACATGCAGGCAATACACTCATACACATAAAATAAAAATAATAAATAAGCCAGGTGTGGTGGTGCACGCCTTTAGTCCCAGCACTCGGGAGACAGAGGCAGGTGGATCTCTGTGAGTTCCAGGCTACAAGGAAACCCTGCTTCAAAAAGACAAAAATAATAAATAAATAAATTAATTAATTAAATAAAATATTTTTTAAAAGTAAAATAAAATAAATGTCATATTTGTCATCATAGAGGATATGAAATGTACCAAAAATATAGAGAAAACAATAACATTTTCCTGATCCCAATACCAGAATTAAACTTTGGCATATTTCTGTGTAAATATACATACGTCCCCAACTACTGCTGATTTTTTTCTAACACGCAAATCAGCGTTTAAACTCAGGGTCCTGGGTTAGATTTGAGAAGTGACATTCAAGTGCAAGGCCTCAGAGGAGATTTTAAGAAATTCAAAGTAAAGACCAGAGAGATGGCTCAGTGGTTAAGATCACTGACTGCTCTTGCAGAGGACCCATGTTCAGTTCCCAGCATCCACATGATGGCTAACAACCATACATAACTCCAGTTTCAGGGTCTCTAACACTCCCCTCTAGCCTCCATGGGCATTGCATGCACGTGGTACACTTATATACATGCAGGCAAAACACCCATATGCATAAAATAAAAATAAATAAGCAAAAAAAATGTTTTAAAGTTCAAGGTGACTTCCTTTTGGGGACCCCAGCCTATGTAAAGCAAAACCTGTCCAAGGAGGATTCTGGATCCCAAAGGAGGGTAAGCCTCAAACCCAGGCAGATGCTCTAGTATGTCACCATGTCCACAGCCCTGTCACTGAGTAACCAGCCGATGTTCTGTCTCCTGCAGTGGTTGACCACTATACCAGTCAGATAGTCTTCAATGGAGTCCGGGTCATTGCCATCATCATTATTGGCCTGGGCTTCCTCCTCCTGCTCCTGCCAGAAGAGTGGGACGCCTGGTTGATCAAGTTGCTCACCCGCCTCAAAGCGAGGAAGAAGGAGGAGACAGCAGAGGGCATCGGGGACTTAGGCACAGGCCCTCAGGGCAGGGGTAGAAGAGCCCGCCCATCCTTTGCACGCTGAGGTCACTCTAGGGATCTAGGATGCCCCTGTGGTAATGTTTTGAGGTCTATTCCTGACAGAAAAACCTCAATTGGGTGAGGTGTACATACCTGTACAGTTTTGGTAATCTGCGGTAAGTTCTATGGTATTTATTGGCATGTCCAATTTGCTTGCACTTTTTCACATAAGACCTTCCACTTAAGGGTAAAATTCAAAATGGAAGAGTAAAGAACCTCTCAGTGATTCTTCAATGAATGTAAAGTGGGGTAAAATGAGCCTTGCATCGATTGTTTCAGAGGACAGGCAAGCTGGACAAGCCAGGGCAAATGCTCTGCCTCTTAGCAACCGAAAATGACATTGTACACTGTGATTATTTTTCAGCTATAGTAGGTCATATTTTGTTTTATACCGGAGCTGTATTCTTAATTTTATGGAATTTCAATGAACCAAAAGATAATTGTTAATTAATCTGAATGGGTGGA